CAAATGAGGTGCAACTTTTCAAATGTTTACGAACTGTTTTGACCAGAATTAGAGACAAAGGCGTCCGCCTCAAAAAAGAAAACTACCAAATTAACGTGCCAAAGGTTGAATTATTAGGGTACGTAATCGACGGCTCTGGGATTCACCCAACACTAAAAAAATTAAAGCAATCAGGATGCCCCTTCACTTCGCAATCAAACCAAGCTGCAGATGTTCCTTGGGCTCCTTAATTTCTACAGCTTTATTTATACTTTCTTTCTTAAACAGAAAGCCACTGTTGCTGAGCCCTTCCATCGTCTCCTGGCAAAGAATGTGAAGTGGTCCTGGGGCAGAGCTGAGGCAGCTGCATTTGCCATAGTAAAAAGACTTCTGTCAGCAGATACGTTCCTGGTGCAGTATAGCCAGACCCTGCCACTGGTGTTGACTTGTGACGCTTCCCCATTTGGCGTCGGAGCCATCCTCAGCCACCACATGCCCAATGGAACCGAGGCTCCCATAGTCTATTACTCAAGGACCTTGCCCGCTGCCGAGTGGAACTACAGCCAGCTGGACCGTGAGGCTTTGGCTTCAGTGGCTGGTGTAAAAAGGTTCCATGAGTACCTTTAAAGCTGTGATTTTGAAATAATTACGGACCACAAACTGCTGCTAGGCTTGTTGGCTGGGGACTGACCTACTCTTGTGTCATTATCGCCATGGATGACCAGATGGACTATTTTCCTAGCAGCCTACATCTATCATCTCATCCACTGACCAGGCTCCACTTTTGGGGCATGCGGACACTTTGAGTCGCTGTCTGCTGCCAGAACATCTTGCAGACCCTATCCCCGAAATGCCAGTCCTTCTTATTGATTGCCTAGAGACTGATCCTGTCTTGTCTAGTGATGTTGCCCACCATGCTGCAAAGACTCCACCCTCAAACAAATTTTGAACTGGGTGTGAAGGGGGTGGGCCAAGGGGCCTATTGGGTCTGATTTCAAAATGTACTATTGTAAAAGAGATGAACTGTCTATTATTAATGACTGTTTGCTGTGGGGCGACCGGGTCATTGTTCCACTCAAATTGTGCATTGCAGTATTAGAGGCTTTACACATAGGCATCCTGGAATTGTCAGGATGAAGTCTTTGGCCAAGAGTTACGTGTGGTGGCCTAACATGGACAGGGAGATAAAAGAATGGGTGGCTACCTGCACACCGTGCCAGGAGTCCAGACCAGCTCCCCAGAGGCACCCGCTAAGGAGTGGGAGCGACTTTAAGCCCTGTGGTCTAGGGTGCACATTGCTTTTACAGTTCATGGCCAGACATTCCTAGTAGTTGTGGATGCCTACTTGAAATGGCTAGAGGTAGTCCTGATGACCTCCACTATGGCAGAAGCGATCATCAAGGTACTATGGAGACTTTTCTTCACACATGGCCTGCCCGATGTCCTGGTCTCTGACAACGGGACCCAATTCACGGCCATGCAATTCGAGACCTACTTAGCAGCACAGGGAATCAGACATGTCCTAGTGTTGCCATTCCATCTGGCCTCTAATGGTCAGGTGGAGAGAATGGTGAGATCTGCAAAAGAGGCCCTATCTAGGATGGGCCCGGGAGATTGGCAAACAAGGGCTGACCATTATCTTCTAATTCAACACATCATGCCAAGTGCCACTACATGGAGAAGCCCTTCCGAGCTTCTCATGGATCGCCGGCTAAGGTCCCACTTAGACCGGCTACACCAAAACTATTCTGCTGCATTGCCCCCAGACTCCACAAGCAAAATTTGGAATTTTAGCATAGGGGATTCAGTTTACTCCTACAACTACACCAGGAGAACTCTGTGGATTCCTGCCACAGTGATAGGTATCACCGGGCCTTGCTCTTATCTCATAGAACTCGAGGACGGTCAGAATTGGAGATGGCATGATCACCAACTCCATGGCTACCTCTCCAACCCCACTCTTAGCCAGACAGAGGTAAGCCTGCACGAGTTAGTCAAAGCCCTACCCAAAAGGAGCACAAAGTCACTCCTTCCACAGCCAACTCAAACCCGAAGACAGGGATACTTAGCTACTTGTGTTGCAGGCCCGCAGCGAGCTCCAAGTGAACCAGCTCTAGAAGCTCCAGCCATGGCCCGTGAAAGGTTCCAGGAGCTTCCACCAAGCGAAGCTGCAGAACAAACAGGTCTGTCTGAAATGTCTGAAGAACACCCTCTGACTGAACTGTGCAGGTCTGGCAGAGCTACCAGAAAGCCTGCCTACCTGCGTGACTAGGTTACCAGTAAGATTATTCCATCTAAGAGGGGAGGGGTGTTAGATACTAACTACAGTTATAATGGTTTCCACCAAGGTCCTCTGTTCTGGCGGGAACAGAGGTTTAATTCCATTGGTTGAAGGGTCTGATAGTTCCCTATAAAAGGGCTGCTGTCAGACTCAGCCTTCGCTGGATTGTACACACTTGTTAGGTTAAAGAGCTGTTGTTTCCTTTAGCCTGAGTGTGCCTTTCCATTACATGATCTAACCATCCAAGTCATAGTTGTCCCAAAGATGCTTGTTTTTTCTGGTTTTTCTTTGAAAATGTTTCGCTTCTCATCCAAGAAGCTCTGACTGAATGGTGGGGAATCAAAGGATTTATACTCCTTGCAGACAGCTGGTTATTTGCATTTTTAGTGAACCATTTAGGCCAGTGATTTACATGCTAGACCTCTGTCTGACCATTACCTATTTTAAATATAATTAAGATTTCTACAGGCAAAAATGTCTCCACCTGTGTCCCCCATTGTGCCAATCTCTATATGGAAGAGGTAGAAAACAAAGTCCTAGACTCCTTCACAGGCATTTTACCCCTGACTGGTATAGTTATGTGGACTATATTTGAGTCAAGATCAAAACATAGGAATTGGAAGCATTCACCAAACATACCAACTCTGTGGGCTGATACATCAAATTTACATGGGAAGATGTTAAGAAAAATAATCTAGTCCTCCTGGACTGTGTAATACACATGAAGGAAGACAGAAGCCTCAACACTGAAGTTTATAGAGAACCCCCACACACAGATTAATATTTAGATTCTGATTCTTACCAAGCACTGGAGCACAAAATGGAAGTTATCAGAACTCTACACCACTGAGCTGAAGGACTGCCTACCAGCAAAGATGGGAAAGACAAAGAACTAAAACACATCAAGGAAGCCCATAGAAGATGTGGCTATCCCAAGTGGCCTTCATCAAATCTCAACAAAGATCCTACGGAAGTTCTTCCATAATAGACATTAAAGAAAGCAATAATCGAAGCAATATTGTCATTCCATCCATTGCAGAAATATCAGAAAGCTCAGGAAAATCTTCATCCAACACAACATACATGCACACTTTAAACACAAGAATACACTAAGGCAGAAGCTCGTCCACCCCAAGGATAAAACACCCAGTCACAAAGAGAGCAATATGGCATATGCAGTACAATACAGCACAATGCAGTGAGCATGTGCAGATGTGTACATTGGAAAATCAACCACTTCATAAATGTATGGCACAAAATAGGAGAGCAATTGCATCAGAACTAGATTTATCTATCTATCTGCATTTAAAAGACAAAGGCCACTCTTTTGAAGACAGCAAAGTCCGCATTTTGAACAGAGAGGACTGCTGGTTGGAAAAAGAGGTCAAAGAGGCCATCTATATCAAAATTGAACAGCCCTCTCTCAACAGAATGGGAAGAATATGACATCATCTACCTCCAGTATACAACAGTAGCCCTTTCAACAGTTCCAAGAAGGCTCCACACCAATTTGCATCACTCAGGTGACCCTGATGACACAGATAACTCTCCAGATGACCTTAACAACTTGTTAAAAGAATGCAGATGGCAAGCTGCCTGCAAGGAGTATAAATCCTTCCATTCCTCACCATCCAGTCAGAGCTAAAAAAAGCTTCTTGTATGAGAAGTGAAACCTCTTCAAAGAAAAACCAGAAAGTCCAGTTGCCTCTTGAAAAAGCAAGGGGTTCTAAATATAGAATGTTCTAAATTTCAGTAACAAAGAAGCTGTGAAATGTAACAATTGGTTTTCATTTTTGTCTTAATCTATAAGGTTTGTTTTAGAGATGGAGCTCAAATTGGAAGTTCATATAAAGAAAAATATATAGAGGGCCAGAAATGCTTTACAAGCCATAAAGTATCCTTTCTCTGGCCATTATAACTTTGAGTAATTGTTACCTGTACTCCAGAGATCTTGTCCTTCCCAGTAATATTTATTGTCTCTCTCTTATCTACATCTTGTCTTTACTGCTAGACACAAGTTTTGGTTTTGGTTTTCTTTAATATTCTTACTGGGCATTCTTACTAGTAATATTCTTACTTGATTTTTTACATCTTCCTGTTTCTCTTCAACAAGACTGTCATCATGGCACGGTGCAAGTTGAAACTGTCCTTATGAATTAAGTTAGAATAAAGAATAAAGGAAAAAGAAGATAAAGTTGGTTTAGTGCATAGAGCCTGCATTTTCAAGTAATAAACAGAGCATTTTTAGATTTACACGTGGTTTCAATTTTGTAGTATATTTTCAACTGTTTCTATTCTATGTTTAGCAACATGGGAAATTAAGCGTACAGCCTAAAGTTTTGAAACTTAGCTTCATACTGGGAAAACTACAAAAGAAAGTATAAAGTGTATAAAGATGTGTAAATATAGAAGCAAAATATTATATGCATGTACAGGTATGATGATATAACAATGTTGATATAATGACTGTAAGGTGTGGTAGAAGAGAAAAAATAAAAAAAATCTGCTAAAAAAAAAGAAAGTGAATGCTACAATAGGAAGAAACTAGGAAATACCAATAGTGGTATTTGGTGCAAAGTTATAGTACTCACAAAAAACATGAATTTGTTTCCATTAAAATATCCTCTCTTAATTATAGATGACTGATTTAAATGAAAATTAAAAAGTACACAATATTCTTTTTTTACCTCTTGGAATCATTTGGAATTTCTAATACTTACTTTTTCTCTTTGTCAAGCAGATATTATTTTAAATTTCCGAACTACATATGTCAGCAAGTCTGGCCAAGTAATATTTGAAGCAAGATCTATTTGTATCCACTATGTGACTACCTGGTTTATCATTGATTTAATAGCTGCACTTCCTTTTGATCTTCTTTATGCTTTTAATGTCAATGTGGTAAGTATAGATTTTTGAAACCACTAAAATAACAATTATAGTATTTACCTCGAGAAATCCTTTTTGTGAATGAATGTATTGCTCTATGCAGGCAAATAAAAAGTGTACAGACTGAACTGTGTGTGCATATGCATATTGTTTGTTGAATGCTGGTATTTTTCTATTTTAGATGAAATACTAGTCTTATCCGTTTCCTATAAAATACTCAATAAACAATTAAGGGGGGGGGGCATAGTGAAAGTAAAGTTAAAGGCATGCAAATAGAAAGCTGAAAACATTAGAACCTTTGAATAAGATATACCAAGAGCCCTTAACTTATGAATGTAATTCAGCCCATATACAGTATGTGATCATAAATTGTGCTCATGTATAATTTTACAATCTTTTTTTCTGATTGTTCACTTCTTAAATGAATACCATGGCTGTTAATCAAGCCCATTGTCCATAATAGGAGATTGTTGTTGTTGTTGTTTTTACTGGAAGCAAGCAAATAATAATGTCCATTTCTGGCAAAAAAATATTCATAATTGTAGGCCTATGACTGCAAATTTTGTAAATGTAGGTCAGTTGTCATTTAACCAAAATCACATGACTGCATAGAGTACAGCCATAAAAACTTTAAATCTGGGTCAGACTTTTTTGGGAGATCTGCATAACTTTGCCTAAGCAGCAGATCATAAGTCAAGGACTACCTATATCTAATGGGTACATTACATTTTTAAGCATCATGCCGTGGTGGTGCAGTGGTTAGAGTGCAGTACTGCAGGCTACTTCTGATGACTGCTGGCTGGCTGCAATTTGGCAGTTCAAATGTCACCAGGCTCAAGGTTGACTCAGCCTTTCATCCTTCCAAGGTGGTAAAATGAGGAGCCAGATTGTTGGGGAAATATGGTGACTGTAAACCACTTAGAGTGGACTGGAAAGTATTGTAAAGTGGTATATAAGTGATATTGCTGTTGCTATCATCCAAACCTAAAATACTTTTGATGGATTGAACTAAACGTAGTTAGTGGAAATAATTTATTTTCTTATGTTAAAAGAAAAAAAAACATGAATGTTATGATATTTAATTTTCTGTGAATTAGAGACATTTATTTTCCTTAATAATTTAGTCCCTGCCCACAATGGTCTCACTACCTCATCATAATAGGGCAGTCCGAGGTGTTCCTGGGAGGAATGAGTAAATAATGACTAAATAAGAAACTTAGGTGTGGCTTCGGCTGCAAAGACCTCAGGGAGAAATATACATTCATACGGGCAAGATTCTCTTAAGGTAATCTTGCAATAAAGTAGATTAGTACATCTGTGCCTGCAAATATGAAATAACGTTTCCCCCCTGTTACCTGTCTAGCTCAGGAAATTAGAGAATTCCTTCTGAGACATTTGCTACTCCATATTCCTTTCGCAGCCAAACTTACCTTATTGTGACTCTTTTCCTTGTCTCCCATATCATTCCTAGTTCCATTACAACAGGCAGCTATTGTGGCAAGAAATTTCAAAGCAGTTTACTGTCTTTTGAAGATGCCCACACTGTCATTTTATGGCATGCAGGAGATTTAACTCCATCTTTAAACTGGTTCCCACTCACCAATGTTCAGAAAATCAATAAGATACATGTATTTTGTCAGACTTTTAATTAATAACTTCAGTCAGAACAGTGACAGCACTTAATTATCTCAACTGACCTCAAAAAAGTTAAGCAGTGTCAGATTTATTTAGTAATTTGATTGTAGCCACCAGAAAATCCCAGAGCCCTTTATTCGTCTGAAAAGTTAAAAAGCAAAGGAAGCAACAGAAAACTATTTCCTTATTGTTGCTAGGAAAACTATTTGAAATTAACTCAAGCGGCTGCACTTTAAGTATTCACTCATATTTTAATCTCTCTCTCTCTCTCTCTCTCTCTCTCTCTCTCTCTCTCTCTCTCTCTCTCCCTCCCTCCCTCCCTCCCTCCCTCCCTCTCTCTTGCTGTGTGAAGTTATACATGCCTTTTTTTTCCTTATGGCTCAGAGAGGTGGCAAAACATAGCCAACCTCAAGAAATCTGAAAATGTTAAGTAGTGTTTGATATTACTTGTAAGCAAAAGTTAACCACTTGCTTAATATTTGGATAAGAGAGTAATTCCATGATTTAACTAGAGATACTGACAAAGTGGGAGGAGGGAAAAGAGAGATCCTGAAAAAAGAAATATTTCTGTATAAATGCCAAGAAAATTCTATGAATGTTTCCATGTAATCACCAGTAGTTAAGCTCAGTTAAAAATAATATTTATTTAATTTGATTGAATATTGGCTAAAGTCACTCAAAAAACTTTCATTCCTATATTAGGACTAGAACTTACAGTACCCTAATTTATTAAATATAATTATTACTTCCTTTGAAAATATATTCCAAACCAAATCAAATGCCTTTTCTATGTGATGAGATTCAAGTACAACAGAGTCCAAACCCAGACTTGAAAGCGTGGATTATACATAAGAAAATGTCTGCCACTACCAAGCTAATAATATAGTTAGAATCTTACCATAGTATCCACATTAATTAATTAAATAGACCTACAACTAGGATAAGATTTAGGTTCTTTGCTTGATTTTAAAAAGCAGCTTTATGTAAGTGTTACAAAATGATGGAGCCTTTTACCACTCTTCAAGGATTAATTATATATCTTCAAAATTTTCAAACGCTTTGTACAGTTCTTCAGTTTTACCACTTTGCAATGTCTGTATCAAATCAGATATTTTTAGAAGTGACAGAATTGTTCACTACAAACCTTGAAAAACTCCTCAATCAATGATGCATTTTCCTGCAACAATTGTAATAGAGAATTTCCTTTTCAAAATCTGCAGAGTTTGGATCAGGCATAAAGGGTAACAGCCCCTTGGGTGGAAAGAAAGCTAAAGATGATTCTTGCTCCATGAGGTCATGTTATCAACATTATTATTCTTGCCTGCTGTTTTTATTTGAAGAACACTGTTGCATTTTATGGATTTTGAGAGTTAGAAAAGTCACACGGTGTAGGAAGCAGCTTTTTAGAACATGTCTTCATTTAATGACTTCTAAAAAATTCTAGTCTATTCTTTCATTTTATTGTAAATTTTTCCTGTTGTGAGCTGCCCAGAATCATTGAGAGTTAGTGGCATACAAATTTAACACATTATTTTTATTGTATATTATTATATTATATGCCTTGCAAGGATATTTGTGGGTCTTTTAAAATAATTTATATTGGGAGGCAGTGGGGGACAGAGAAACTATTCATTGCTTTTACCCATCTTGATTCAGTGGTCTCTTTATTAGAGTTAAAGCAAGCTTTCCTAGAGTATAGGTCTGCCTCTTGTAGTGGGGTACAGGCAGAATCTAAGGAAAAGCCAGGGAAGAATCTTTTAATTGTACATGGTTACATGTACAATTAAAAATTATTGTAAACAAACCTGTACCAAATTTTTAGTGGCCCCAGTTTGTGTAAGTTGGAAGAAAAGTTTCCAATTCCATCTCTGTGAGTACAGGTTCCTCACAGGGCTGTGTCTTGAGTCCACTACTGTTCACCTTGATGACCCATGACTGTTGTGCCAAGTCTGCTATGAATCATATTGTGAAGTATGTGGACGACATAGAAATGGTGGGTCTTAGCCAGTGTTGGGTTTCAAAAAATTTTAGAATCTATTCTGTGGGTATAGCCTGTTTTGTGGGAGTGGCTCAGCAGTCATGTGACTGAGTGGGAGTGGCTTGGTGGTCATGTGACCTGGTGGGCATGGCCATCTTGGAAAATGTGGTCAAACTCACTTAACAACACTCTTGCTTAGCAACCAAAATTTTGGGCTCAATTGTGGACATAAGTTCTCTTTCTTTCCTTCTTTCTCTTTCTCTCTCTTTCTCTTTCTATCTTTGTCTCGCTTTTTTCTCTCCCTCTCCCTCCATTCCTTCCTTCCTTTCTTTCTTGTGTGTATCTCTCCCACTTTCTTTCTACCTTCCTTCCTTCTTTCTGTCTCTCTTTCTCTGTCTCTTTCTCTGTCTCTTTTTTTTCTTTCTAAATCACTCTAATGTTTGATGAAAGCAGTCACGGGTTTAGGGTGAATTAAGTCTTTCTCCAAAATTTAAACCAGGATTCCAACAAAAACCTCTAGGCCAGCATCAAATTAAGGTTTTGACTTTTATCCAGAGCCCACCAGCTTCAAAAGTTCGTTACAGACCAAGTCTCTCCAGTTTAGATTTCCCAAATAGCCCTGGCAATCAGGAAACCATGGGTGTGTGCCACCTCTGAACCCTCAGCCACCCTTGATACTACAAGAAAACTTATTGATGCTCAACTATGATGTGCTTTGGCAGAGTAGCCACCACAAGGATAGAAGGCAAGGAAGGCTAGGAGGCATCAGAAAGGAAGGCTAGATTGAAGGATGTCTATGAGGATTATCAGTCATCCAGGATGTCCCCAAGAGGCAGCTGGACTTTCTGCATTTTCTTTTGCTTCTCCTCCAAGAAGCTTCTTCACTCATCCAGAAGCTTCCTCAGAGCTGAAGAAGCTTCCTGGAGGCAAAGCGAAACATCTTCAAAGAAAAACCAGAAAGTCCAGTTGCTTCTTGGAAGAAAAAAAGCACCTTTGGGAAAAACGGATAAGGGCACCCGGTCCTAGTCTGTGCCCCTCATGTCCAGGCATCCATCCCAAGGAAGGACTCAACCCGGCTTGAAAAAGGGCTCATGCCCCACAGCCAGCCAATCTGTAAAAGCACAGAAGGTGGCATGGGGGGGGATGCGCCCTCACTAGGGTTTCTCCCTTCCTCTGCCCAGCTCTCCACCTCCACCTTTGGTTAGGCTCCCCACTGGGCTCGGGGGCTTCTGACCCTCATGCCATGCTTTTCAAGAGAGAGATATCAAACAGAGACTGGGGGGGGGGAGAGTGACTAGGGGGGCAGGCCAGAGGAGGGAATGTTCCGGTACAGTGCCACCGGACCAATGGGTATGGAAAGGCATGGTAAATTTCACCATCCGGTATGCCCGTACTGATG